CGCCCCGCCCCGCCGACCCACGCCCCTCATTTGCATGGGAGGCCCCGCCCCCCTGGGCCGCGCACTCGCGCGCCCGCCTTTAAGGGGGTCCGGCACTTAAGGTGGAACGGCGCCGGAGCGCTGGAGCGCTGGAGCGTCGGGCAGGCGTCGGCCCCGCCCTCCGCCTCCCCGCCTTTCCTCGCCTTTCCCGGCCTTTACCTGCGTTGGCGCTCGCTGGGGCCTGTTCTTCTCTGCCGGGAGCTGGGGTCCCTGCCGCGCCGTGCCTGTCCTTCGTCTGGTCCAGCCTTGCATGCTCGGCCCTTCCTGGTCCGCAGCAGTCTGTAGGTCAGCCCCGGCGGGCGACTTTTCTCTGCGGGCACGACGAGAAAAGTGCTTTTCCCCATTTAGAAAAAGAAAAAGACCCGCGGGCAGAGGTCGTCTTTGCAACCTGCCGCTTGGAGACTTCTCTGGCCTCCTCACCCTGGGAATTTTTACTGACCTTGTCCTAAGGCCAGAAGTAGGTTCCCCCACCCCCACCCCCAGCCTGACGCTTCCATCGGCCAGAGGCTGCCTGGTGTGGAGGGCAAATCTGCGCATCTAAGGTTATAGAAGGGCAGGCTCTGGCCTTAGCTTCTCTCCTGTCATTTCCACTTAGGCATGAATATTTATTGAGAAACTGCTATGTGCCAGGCACTTGTTCCAGGCTCTGACAATATAGCAGTGAACAGGCCAAAGTCTCTGTCCTCTGGAATTTACATTCTAGATCAGAAAACAGGCAATAAATAAGTAAACACGCACGTAATATTTATTCCATCCTCCCAACAAATCTAAGAGGTATGGATTATTTCCATTTTGCAGATGCAGAAATTCAGCCTAGGCACAAATTCTGGTCCTTCCAGATTGTCATCTCTCGGCCTCAGTTTCTTCATCTGTAAATAGGGGCAAGAATGATAATACAACACCAGTTTGCTAAGCTGTGCAAACAGTTGGCCTAGACCTTGAACACAACAAGAAAACTTTTTGTGAATATTCTTAGGCTATGTCGTAGTAGTAGGTGTTGTTGCTACTTGCTCTTCCCAAACCAAACCCCTAACCCCAAATCGTGGTGGTGACTAGCCAGCTGGGGCAGCTACATGTGGAAACCAGCTGACAGGCACTGTGGCAGGCCTAGCCCTGAAATGACTGCTTCCTGGATGGCCCAACCTCGATGTCAATCGGCAACTATGAATTGAGCACTAGGCATTCAGGGTTATGTGGGGAAGACCGCGGCTGCCCACACTCAGTGAGGGAGAAGGAGACACAGACAAACATCCTTACAATAATTGCAGAGGTGCACTGGGAGTATCAGGTACTAGACTGACCAATGGGTTTCAGCGCGTCTTTTCCCAGCCCTGGAGACACAGAATCCACTTTACTCTCTCCCAGCATCAACAATTGTGTTTTATTTTTATTTTGGTTTACTGTTTGCCAATAAAAGCAACAATCAATAGCAGCTGGTAACAGCCTAAACAGAACAATCATACAGTGTTGTGGAAGGAGGCATGGTGGCAGAGAGGCCTGATTTAAGAAGGCACTTTTAGCAGTGGTAGAGGGTTCTGCAAACTAAGCAGCCTGAAGAAGTCCCTTGCAAGTTGGTGCCTCACGTCATATTAGACACTATGTAGTGAGTGGCCCGCAGTCTGGTTTTTCAGGGAGCAGGGGCCTCCCTGAAAAATGATGGCACTGACCAAGACAGAACAAAAGCAGAACCTTTGACTGGCTGTTCCCTCCCTGTCTCCACCAACCAGGGAGAGCCACCTGCATTGCCTCAAAGCAAGCCTGGCTCTCAGGAAGGTTTCTGACCAGGCTTCCTCATTTCTTCCAGCTGACTTTAGCACCAGTGCCCTCCCCCACTGTACTTAGAAACTTTCTCATTCTATTATCGACCAATTGGCTATTTTTATGTTGCCCTGTCTGCACTCAGAAGCTCTGTACATAAGCACCGAGTGTACTGACAGAAGCCAACAAAGAGAAGGAAAAATAAGCTTTTGAGACACTTGGATTAAAAGTAGGAGAAACGGTGAGGGTCTGGTAGGAAAAATATCAGTGTCTGTTAAAGTTCAGTTAATTACACCCATCCGTGATTGTATTCACATCCATGATTAGGTGAACAGAGCAGATTCAACGAAGTAAAAAAATGAAATTCCTCTTTGCTCTCCCAGGGCCTGCAATCTAGCCAGGGAGACAGGACTCACTGGGTAAAAGATAAATACAATATAACTTGAGAAGTGTCTGAGGAGGTACATGGGGCCCAGACTGGAGACCAGGTTCAGTTGCTGCTGGCTTGCAGCCCTGGTTAGGAGCATCTAATCTTTCCACATCTGCAAGTCAAAATACCTCTCCCATGGAGTTATGGGGACAACTTGGAGATAGGGGTCCATTAACACGCAGAAAGCCTGGATGCATGTGTGGCTCCCCCATTAACCAGGCAGAAAGCCAGAAGCTGCCCTCCTTTGGGGGACACATGAAGGCATCGTCAGACCTGTTTCTCTGCCTCAGGGTAGCAAGTCCTTACCTGAGTGCCCTCCATTTGCAACTAAGGAGTGGGAGAAGGTCTTTCTCAGAGGGTCCTGACCCCTGAGCACTTAACAGCACTCCATTCATGACATCCTCGGACCTGATTGGTTCTTTCCAGTTGTAGGCCTTGTGGTAGCATGTCTACATCTCCCATAATTGAGCACACTCCTTCCTGGTCCTGTGAAGAGAAATAGTCTTCAAGTCTTATTGCCCCTTCACTTGTACCCAGTATTGTGCTGGTACTGGGGATCCTGTGATGAACAAGGATCCTCAATTAGTAGCCTGGAATCTAATCCTCCTGGGCTGGATTCTTAGCTGTCTTCACCCTCTGGGTCTCCAAGATGGGGAAGCTGCTGGCAGAGAAGCTGCTCTTCTGCTGGCGGTGCTCAGAGCCTGAGGCCTGCTCTGGCCTCACCTTGGGCAGAGTCCCCTAGGCTGTGCCATGAGCCCTGGGGTCAGAGGCCTTGGTTGGGGGCAGTGGGACACCTTTTCAGGATGAGCCATGGTCATTGTCAATGCACGCAGTGGCCTGTTCATCGGCTGCCCTTAAGTCTACAATAACACTGAGCATTTGCAGGGTACATCCGTGCCATTAAATTATCTTGGGCCAGCGGCCAGTTAGCTCAGTTGGTTGGAGCGTGGTGCTAAATTATCAATAATTATTATGGACAGAGCGAGCATGGACTTAGCTGGGGTGGTGCCTTAGCTCAAATTCCAACTCAGATCATCCCAGCAAGTGGGGACGTGAGGACCTGGATGGGAGGATGTTGTGATTTCTACCTGAGACAGACACTTCATTGAGCCAGAGGAGGGGTGAAAACATCAGGTTAGCGGCCCATGCTGTGCTGGGATGTGCCTCTGATAGGAAGTTGGATGGCAGATTAGCAACGCTCAGAGAGTTTGTATGAACTGGGTAAGTAGGCTCCAGAGCTTCCCTGGCCACAGGACAAATTGTTCTCCTTCAGGGACAGGATGCCTTACCATGGGGGTTCAGAGCACATCACTAAAGGCGTTCTGGGGGCTGGCTTGGAGGCTGATTGACTGTGCGACCTGGGACCCTGGGACATTCTTGAGTGCCCAGGGAGATGATGCACGATAAGCACTTCACAAGTGCCTGCCTATGGTAAGAGCACAATAAACATGCTCAGCAACCATGATGACAGCGGGAAGGATGTGGCCAGGATTTTTAGAGGACACTTGCAAATTTCCTTAGCTCCATTGTGTCTCTCCATGCAACTGCAGCCACAGTCTCCCTGTTCTTTCCTTTCCCTTTCCTTCGGAAGGAGAACATCAGCAGAGAATGATGGGGGAAGAAGGGAGACTGAGGGGAAGGTCATCTAGGACTAAGCAAGGACCAAGTCTGAGACCTCCTGGGGAGGGAAGAAAGAAGCTGGGGTGGAGGTGAAGCCAGGTGGAAGTGATCTTGGCAGGGGTATCACAGTACATAGGCGCTCAGCTAAAAAGGCAGGGCAAGCCGGGGAGAGAGAGAAGCCTCTTGTTTGGCATCCAAGAGACCAACGACCCCTCAAGGCAAGGCCTTCCAGCCTCTGCCTGTACCAGGGCCCCTGTGAGGAGTCCCAGGCAGCAGCTGGTCTAAGGTCTGGGCAGACCTCAAGACCCTCCTTTATGCCACCCTTCCCCTTGTGCACTGGGGTACCCTTTGTTCCTAAAACTGGCTACCCCAGCAAGCTTTTCCTTCTGCCTCAGACAACACAGACCCCCCCCTTTTTTTTATTTTAAAAGATTAACTATTAGTCACTAGAGAAAAACAAAGGAGAGCAAGATAACAAACACCCAGTATTTACAAAGGCTTAAGAACAAACTGCTTGTAGTCACTGTCTCTAGTTTCTGACTCTTTTTTGGAGTTGGCAAATGGAAAAAGGCTACAGCAGAAATGTCAAGCTGGTGAATTGGGGCAAAGTGCTTCGCCTCTGAGGGCTGGGGTTCTCCATTGTTAAGATGGTAACCAAGAGGCCCTCCTTGCCATATTGATAGAATTAAATGAGCCAGTGTCACTGCTCCATAAATGTTAGTTTCTATTCCTTCCCCCAGGCCAGGACTTTTCATATTACATTTCT